TTCTGGGAACTTTTGTGTTTTTCTAATATTTTAACATTACTCTATTTTGATAGATTCAAGCCTCACTGATCTGTATTGTTTTTTTTAAAAAAATGTGAGTTGCTTTAGAGAAAAAGCAGGATACAAATAAAGGCGTTGTTGTTGTTGTTGTTATTATTATTATTATTATTATTTTACTGAAACAAAACCACAGCATGTCACAGCAAACAAGATATATATGATTTCGTATCACAAAATCACAAGTTGAACACTTCCCAAGCATCTAGGACTGTGTGATGTATTTTCAAATGATGCGTGCAGATCCAAGTAAGGTGGCCTTTTGCAGTTGTCAGATCATGATTTTGTCAATGTTTATTGTTTCCAAATGCCGGCTGAGATCTTTCGGTACGGCACCCAGTGTGCTGATGACGACTGGGACCACCTGTACTGGTTTATGCCAGAGCCTTTGCAGATAGGTATTCTCTCAGCTAAAAAAAACCCCAGTTTTTAAAAGTGAACATTTGCTAATTTTCATAGGGCTCCTGTGCCCCAACGCCAATAATGTGTGAATGTAAAATACACTGATGGTCCATGAAAAAAGTCAATTTACTCACATATACAACAGTGATGCCATTCAAATTGTTATAGCCACTCAAGTGCAATAGGTCTGTTGAACACTAGATGATCATCAATCTACAAGTGTCATGGGATTTACAATCAGGCTTGAACAATTACTCGTATGAGTATTGTGCTATTGTCTGTTTGAGACCACGAGTAATTGCTTAGTGCTTACTTACTACACTATCAAGAAAAGAAAGGGAAGATTAATAGGGACAGTAAGGAAATGATTGTGATTTCTTTAACTGAAGTTTCAGAACAGGATTTCACAAAAAGTGCAAGTATTATAATGGTTAGACATACTTTTGCTGTGCTTTTGATCCATATAAACCTGGCCTAAAGCAATTTATAACACCTTGTTTTTGGTCTCTGTGAAACCATAATTTTATACTTTTCAATTTTCTCCGATTTTTTTTGGAGGAGCCACACTATAACACCAAAAGAGTGGTGAGATTCTAAGGAAAAGCATTACCCAAGTATTTGATAAACTATTTCATCAGTTCATTTATGAAAGGTTAACGTTTCCAATCTTACTGACCAATTTTGCCTTCTGAGAAATTCACAGGTATGTCTTCCTGCTAATATTGACTTCTAATGACCCTATTATAGAAATTTTTTTTGCAAGATTTGTTCAGAGGTGGTTTGCTATTGCATTTCTCTGAATACAGCCCAGAGCTTCTAGTATTCCTTGGCATTTTCCCTCCCAAATTCGAACTATGCTTCTCTTGCAGCCTGAGATCAGACTAGGGCCCCTTCCACATAGCTGAATAAAATCCCACATTTTCTGCTTTGAACTGGAATATATGGCAGTGTTGGCTCAGATAACCCAGTTCAAAGCAGATATTGTGGGATTTTCTGCCTTGATATTTTGGGTTATATGGCGGTGTGGAAGGGCCCAAGGTCTGGTACCTTCACAATATTTTGGAAGCACTTCAGAAAAAAGATCAGGAGACAACACATTTTCAAAACAAGAATAAGTGATCATTACTAGCGGAATCCATAAACCATCCAGGCAACCTATTAGTAAACTGGGCGTTGTGGGTTGTGGCCCTTCTACACAGCCCTATATTCCAGAATATCAAGGCAGAAAATCCCACAATATCTGTTTTGAACTGGGTTGTCTGAGTCCACACTACCATATATTCTGGTTCAAAGTAGATAATGTGGGATTTTTTGCCTTGATATAGGGTTGTGTGGAAGGGCTCTTGGTAACAGGATAGTATTTATATTGCTAGGAAGCCCAATACAAGCAATGTGACAGCTTCAACAGAGTGGAACGGATAGAATTATAGAGTTGGAAGAGATTCCCAAGGACCATCCAATCCAACAACCAATCAAAGCACCCCAAAAGATGGCCATCCAGCCTCTTTTCAAAAATCTCCATAGAAGGATACTCTACCATACTACAAACAAACAGATTCCACTGTTGGGAGGCGCAAATGGAAAAGATGAGGAGAAAAGAGGCAACCACAGCTGACTCCTGAGCTTCTGCTGCCCTGCTGCCATGTGATCTCTTCCAACTCTATGATTCTAAGACAATACTCCACTTGGCCAAATAATCCTGAATACAATGGAATTTCCTTGTTCAAAATAGCTGACAGATGTGTTACTCACAAGATTAACAAAATGGTAACAATTTCTTTCCCACATTAGTTTTTCCTTAGAATTATCTTCGTCTCATGAATATTTTGGCCAAACTTCTTAATTCTTAGCTCTGGGTGAAATAATGTGCAAACTTTTAGACCTGCAGTGATTTCCTTACTTTCTATGGCCCCTTCTACACTGCCATATAAAATCCAGATTATCCACTTTGAACTGGATTATATGGCACTGCAGACAAGTTCAAAGCAGATAATCTGGATTATATGGCAGTGTAGATGGAGCCTGTGTTTTATGTTTCAGTTCCTTTCTTTTATTGCCTCCCTAACTAACCAAGTTTAGATTGTAAGATCCTTGGAGATGGGATTTTCTTCTCTTACTCTGGGCTATTAAGTGCTACTGATGTTGAGAATACTATGCAGACAATCTAATGCAATTACATATCTGAGTACATTTGCTAAGCATTTAAGGCGTGTACTGGATGCAACACAATTGGATATGAATATTCGGAATGGCACTAAGATATGTGTACAAAAATTCTCATTTGATTTCATGGGATCTCTGAAGAAGTAGTATAACTACTAGTTGACTGCATGCATTTGAAATTTACACAATAAGCATTTTTTTAACCTTTTTTGTAAAGGCCCATTTCACTGGAAGACAATTCCAATGAACTTTATACTTGCACTCCCACTGAGTTGTGTGGTAATTAGTCATCGGGAAATAAATAGAAGATTGCTTCCCAAGTCTCTTTCTCTTTCATACAGCCATGCACATAAGCGAACTGTAACAAAAGGGGAACTTCAACCTGATTTCTCTTAGTGAAATAAGTGTTTACTCAGGAACACTAATGGGGTCATAAATGGTGTCTCAGGGAAAGCTACAGCTGCCATCAGGCATCAGTCATATCCTGTTAGGAATTTCCTGGTGTTCACAGATGAGACATCTGGTTTAAATGGATCATTTTGTCCCTCACTGAAGTCCTGAGCAGGGACTTACTACACACTACATTCTTTATCAGCTCAATTCAATGCATATTTTTCAGTATACCAAATAGGAAGGATGCACTTAATGGAGGTAGCAAACACATTTAGTCTTGCAAGAGAGCACATTCTAGCAAAAAAATGGGACAGAAAATTAAATGTCCTAAGACTGAGTGCAAATCAAAGCCTGCTGGGTAACTGAAATTAAAATAACCCAAATGCTGGAACTATGTGCTGTTCTCCATGAGGAGAAAAATCTGAATACAAAAACACAATGGGACCTAAATTCAGAGTGCTCTGCCAACCTAATTAGAATTTAACAATATGCAGGGATTTCCAGAAAGGCCCAGAAATCCTCATCTTCATTCTGTGTTTATACAGCATCAGTTTGAACAGTAGAGCCCGGATTTTGCAGAGGTTAGCAATAGAGAGTGACTACAGCCACCAGAAAGAGCAACTGACAATTTTGAATGCACAGTACGTGTTTTTCTCCCTCTAAATCTGGCTGTACATTTGCCTCATAACAGGAGTGAAATTTGACAGAGATATTTATCAATACTCCCTGAACACCAACACTATCTTAAGCAAATATCACTCACGATGCAGTTTCTAACAACCATCACTTTTCCTCTCCTGTACAGTTTTTAACAACTTTGCCTAATAATAAAAAAGCCAGGAAATGTTGAAAGCTGGTGTAATTAATTTTCCCTTTTGCTCAACCTGATAAAAATCTCAATGTGATGTCTATCTTGGGTTTTGTTGAAGCTACGCAATACCAGCTGGAGGCCCATTTTTCTTCCCGTGTCAGGAGTGACTTGAGAAACAGCAAGTCACTTCTGGTGTAAGAGAATTGGCCGTCTGCAAAGACACTGCCCAGGGGACACCTGGATGTTTGGTGTTTTACCATCCTTGTGGGAGGCTTATCTCATGTCCTTGCATGGGGAGCTAGAGCTGACAGAGGGAGCTCAACCTGCTCTCCTCGGATTCAAACCACTGACTTATTGGTCAGCAGTCCTGCCGGCACAAGGGTTTAGAAAGGCACAGAAAGATGCAAAATTATTCAAGGGTATTTTTCAAAAAATAATATCAGATCAGCAACTCACACTGAACTTGTAGCAGGCCATAGAGGGGGAAAAAACATGAGCAACATTGCATAAATTCTGTATAAGCTCCATCAAAACATAGATTTTGTGAATGTTTGATATGGACAAACAGATAAAATGCTGGCTACAAGGTTGACCAGTTGTGCTTACGATAGATAGCTCCCATCTACTTCTGTTTGCAAGAACTTTAGATAGTTTCTTAATGGCCCAGTCAAGTTACCAAGTTGAATATGAGATGAGAATATCAGAAAAGCTGAGGTCTGGCACTTTTCACATTATAAATTAAATTTCAGCTGTATATTTTGATATATTGAGCCATATTACTAGAAGGGAATCAAATCAAAAGACAATTATGCTGTCTAACTGCCCCATTCTTACCTCTAATTTGCCACAATTTCAACTTAGAGTGTTAGATGCGAGAGAAAAATGTAATTAACACCAGTCAACAATGCATACTGTCAAAATAAGTGTGATTTCAGATTTTGATGAGTTGAAGATTGGTTCAGAAAGAACAAGTTCTTTTTTGAAGAATAGTTGTGTTGCTAAAGATACCATTAAGTCTGTGATTAAGAGTATTACTAAAACTCTAGCTAAATTTCCTTTAGCATTCCTTCCAATTAAATAAAACCATGGTATTGTTACAATCAGAGAAAAGAAGGAGCATGAAAACACAAGAGTTCACATTTGCTTGGTGAAGGATAACATGTCAAGTTCTTACCTGGTGCAGTTTTGTAAGACACAGTTCTGGTGGGTAGTGAAGGTACATTCTTTGCAACAGGGCTACGTGCTAGCTGCATGCCCTGCCGCTGCCTTTTCAGTTCCTCTTCTCTTTCTTGGGCTGCACGAATCTCTTCTTCTATCATGGACAAAGTCCTCTGCTTTTTTGACCTTAGTTTGAAAGGCCCTACGGTCACTTCGGCTTCTTGCATAGCCAGAATGGAAGCCGTGCTCCTAAGCTCAGCTGCTTCTGAATATTTGCTGAAATAGCTGACTTCTGGCTTTGTTTCCTCCACAGTGACTGATTTGGTGGCATGGGCAATAAGAGGCGGCTGAAAGGTTTGCCTTTCCCTGAGTGCAGAGTCTTGGACTGCTGGAGACTTTGGTGCAGCATCTCGTTTTTCTTGTACAGGAGATGACACCTGAGGTGGTTGAAATGCTGAATGGAGCTGTTTTTCTGAACACAGTGTCTTGTTTGTATCCTCCTTGATCTGAAAGTTTCTTTCATCTGTGGTGTCTTTCACATGCTTGGTGCTTATTGTGCCAGCCTGCTCAGCTATGGCTTGTTGAATGGCATTTTGAACCAGTAGACCAGCCTGGTGTTCAAGCTGCTCATCTATGAGCATGGAGTCGGTAGGAGAATAAAAACCATGGTCACTGAGTGACTTTGAGACACCTTCTCCTTGACATTCAGAAGGTGTGTTAGCTTGTGGTGTCTGAGGCAAAGAGAAATCAGCAAGTGAATTTTCTTGAAGGGCATTCATTGTTTCATTGGAGGCACCACTATCACTGATATTATCCATACTGAAGTCATTGGAGAGTGTTTCCAAAACAGTTGTATCCTGAGATCTCACAGATAATTCATCTAAGCCAGAGTCTAGTTCTTCAGGCGGAGAGGACACATTCACTGACCTTGAGAACTGCTCTAATATACCCTGTTCATCATCTCTCACAACTGTAAACACTGCTTTTGCACTTGTGAATTCACTATCTTCTGACCATATTTTTGTGGTCTGGCTAGTCTTTGGAGGATCAATGTACGGAGACACTCGCTCTGGGTTGCCAGAGATATTCTCAACGCTATTGTCATCTGAGAAGCAAGAAACCTTTTCAGCCTTTACAATTGTTACATCATTATTGCCAGCCTCTGTAATTTGTCCATACAGAGACACTGGTTTGGTTACTGACACCGATCGCCGGTCCATTTGAGATGGCCCTATTGGTTTGTAGAAGGGTTGGACTGTGAACATTTTGGGGGTCCCTGATCTCTTGGGTGCAGTTGTGTTGTTTGGTTGGCCAGAATTTTCCATTAATTGAAACTGCTTCCGTGCTGCTGAAAAATCTATCTGCTCTGTGACAACATCATCCTTCTTAATGTTAACTGGATCAGGCGGTGCAAAGGAATATGTGACATGTTTCACAGGCATTGATGGTTGCTGCTGCTGCTTCTCTTTGCGTTCCTTATATTTTTTGTGAGACTCTAAATGTTCCTCATCTAGCTGTTCCTCCAGGGTTTTCTCTTGAGGTGGGTTCCACCACTTTGTTGCAATGCCTGGATTCTTCTTTACAGCCTGACTTCGAATGAGCTCCCGCCTCTCTTTTTCCAGCTCTATCATTTCTTCAGAGGGCCTCATTTTACGCACTCGGTAATTCTCTTTTGGATCCTCCTCCTCAAAGAGCTTGGATGGCTTTTTCTCTTCATGGAACGCTCTAAGTTCAAACTTAGCTTCTTTCTTAATAGTAGATAATACAGGATCTCCATCTTTGGAAGATCTTGAGCTTGTGGAAGAGCATGGACTTACTGGCACTTTCAGGTTGTCGCAATGTTCTTCTTGTAATACACCCACAGAATGGCCATTTGGTTTTAGCTTCCCAGATACTACATTCATTTCACTGTGCTCAGTGACTTGTCTGCCAAATACAATGAGGTCACTTTTGTTGAGTGCTGTGGAATCATTTGTAACATGAATTGATGGACTGGAGCCTTCCATAACAACAGATGAACTTGGCTCAGGAGAGGAGGACATCATTCCATTAAAGGGGTTATCAGTAGCAGAATCACAACAGTTTGCTTCAAGCACCTCATCAAGGTATCGGATCTCTTTAGCAACTTCACTATCTAAGGATTCGTGTCTGTCTCTAAGTCCATTGTGACTGGCAGCAGGAGAAAAGAAGTGTGTTTGACTGTCTGCTGCATGCGCTGAAGTCCCCACTGTGATGCTTTTATGTTCTGAGGCAAGGGCTTCAATTTCCATGTTCTCTTCCTTTGTTGAACGAACACCAGCAGGCTCTAGGAAATTGGCACAATAATGGTCTCGCTCTTTTCTCAACCTGATGTCATCCTCAGAGCGTCTAGACTTCTAAAAAGGCAACAAAAAAGAGAGGTGTAAGTAGCTATGAAGTTCTGTGAAAACAGATTCTCTAATGTAACATACCAAAACCAAAGAAGTAATGGACATCATAGGGAAAATAAATTAATGTAACTTTTTTGTCATATGGTTTAATATCTAGTTTCATAGTTGCTTTGTGGGAAAGCTACATTTGAAGATCAGTAATATGATCACTTTGAATATCTCTCACTTGAATTTGTCTTTAATACTTATTATTTGTAATTACTTCTTTTGTTTCTGGGTTCCTCTATACACGTCAATTAACATTTCCTTTCTTTCTTAAAAAAATGGTAAAGCAATAGCTGACATGGATTTCACCTTAAGACAAAGACGGGATATAAATTCAATAAACAAACAAAAGAAACAAAGAAATAAAAATACATTTTTTCATCTGAAAGTTCTTTTGGAAGGTACGTAATCAATTGAAACTTGATAAATTAAAACTACATCTGTGATGAGAGGGCATGCACTGTAGTTCAAATCAAGCCCAATGAGATGCGACCAACAATTGCTCTTTCACAGGTTAAAACAGTGGTTCTCAACCTTTCTAATGCAACACCTTAATAAAGTTCCTCTGTGGTGACTCCCAATCTTATTATTTTCATTGCTACTTTATCACTCTAATTTTGCTACTGTTATAATTGTAAATAACTAATATGCAGGATGTATTTTCATTCACTGGACCAAATTTGGCACAAATACCCAAGATGCCAAAATCTGAATACTGATGAGCTGGGGGGGGGGGGGGGGATTGTTTTTCTTTCGGAGTTGCAGTTGCTGGGATGTATAGTTCACCTACAATCAAAGAGCATTCCAAACTCCACCAATGATGGAATTGAACCAGATTTGGCACACAGAACTCCCATGACCAAGAGAAATTACTGGGAGGGTTTGGTGGGCACTGACCTTGAGTTTTGAATTTATAATTCACCTACATCCACTGTGGACTCAAACAATGATAGATCTGGACCAAACTTGGCACGAATAGTCAATATGCCCAAATGTGAACACTGGAGGAGTTTAGGGAAAATAAACTTGACATTTGGGAGATGTAATTGCTGGGATTTATAGTTCACCTACAAAGAGCATTCTGAACCCCACCACAATAGAATTGCGCCAAACTTCCCACACAGAATGCCCATGACCAACAGAAAATACTCTGACACCCCCTCATGACTCCCCCCAGGGGTTCTGACCCCCAGGTTGAGAAACACTGGATTCAAACCTCTTGGTTCATGGTGCTGATGGAGACTAATATCCAACATCCAGAGAGCCAATCTGACATGCCCATGAGTTTGAACATATTTAGTGAGAAATACTTGTTTCCTTGGGAGACCTCCACATGCCCCAGGTATATCATAATCTCAAATATTCACCCAAGTTTGGATATGGAATGGTGGGGCCAGTGTTCAAGAAATCAAAGTCCAATGTTTTGTTGGTTTTTTTAAGATCAAGAAATATATCAAGAAAAAAAGATTAACTAAAGTTAAAAGTTAGCATTCCAGACATTCACTTGATTTAAACCAGTAATTTGTAAAAGTTGAATTTAAAAGACACCAAAATCATTAAAATTCAGGGTAATCTGTACAAAATAAAGAGTAAAGTAGCACTAACTCTAGTTGAGTTCGACTCTGGGGGTGGTGCTCATCTCCATTTCTAAGCTGAAGAACCGGCGTTGTCCATAGACACCTCCAAGGTTATATGGCCAGCATGACTGAATGGAGCGCCATTGCCTACCCATTGAAGTAGTACTTATTGATCTACTCGCATGTTTTTGAACTGCTACATAGGTAGAAGCTGGGGCTAACGACAGGAGCTCACCCCGCTCCCCAGATTTGAAACACTGACCTTTCAGTCAGCAAGTTCCACAGTTCAGCAGTTTAACCCACTACACCACTGCAGCCCCATCTGAGTAGTATTTCCTAGTTTAAAATATGAGTGTTTCTCCCCCCCCCAAGTAGTAAACAGCACCTGAATTTAAAAATAGCAGAAGTGTCTGAATTGCAGAAATCATTACATCACAATTAGTTAATTTAATGGCTTTCTATCTAAAATATGTCCAATATTGTACATAGCCACTTATTTACTTGTCAGTGGTGATATACAACTGGTGTCCGCTCAGGTTTGGTAAAACTCTGGAGGACCAGAGGTTCCTCGCTCCTGCTGCCATAAGGAATTTGGCATGACTAAGAGATTAAAGGTTTCAAAATTAAAATGAGCAGCTAAAGCTATGAACCACAGTATCAACCCACAATAGTTCCTTTATTATCAACAGCAACTGCTGCCGCTGCTATTAATAAACGAGGCACGAGTTCCGAAACACATGCACAATCTCTGATGCCCCCCACCCTAATAGAAAGGGAGGATTATTCTTTAATGGGGTTGTGGATTAATAAAAGATCTGGCTGAGAACACTTAAAAATCCATAGAAGTCAGGAGCTAAATTAAATACCACCTCTCAAGCTTAATTATGAGCCAAGCCACAAAAGAAACCATGGGGCTAGGAAGAAAAAAGTGTTGCCATACAACAATGAAATACATGTGCAAATGCACTATCCATAGGATGGTAAAACATCCAGGTGTTCCCTGGGCAACGTCCCTGCAGACAGCCAATTCTCTCACACCAGAAGCGACTTGCAGTTTCTCAAGTCACTCCTCACACACATACACACACACAAACCAAAACAAACTATTGTTTGAATGGGTTGTTGTAAGTTTTTCGCGCTGTATGGCCAGGTTCCAGAAGCATTCTCTCCTGAAGTTTTGTCTGCATCTATGGAAAGCATCCTCAGAGGTTGTGATCCTCAGAGATTTTGTAGAGGTCGAATCTCTACAACTGAAGATCCACACATTGAAACTTTTCATTTGGCTGTAGATTTCCGAGTGAATTTTGATAAGGAAGAATCTTTTGGATTCTGCAACTTTAAAACGCGAATTTCAGATGGAATGTGAAGTTTGATTTGATTAGCAACCATAGTTAGTGATCTTTCATAGTAGTCACAAATGATGGACCATGAAAAAACATTTCACATTAATCCAAGGATTGCAACAAACTATTAAGGATTTATTTTTCACTTTAGGCCTGTCCCTTGGAATTCAACAAGAAGGCCTGATTCATCCAAGTCACCTTTTAAAAACAAAACTACACATTACACTGAATAATAAAACAGAAGTGTTGTCACCACAGGTTGCTGAGCTTTGGCAAAAAGTAAGGCTAGGTTTTACTATATCACTGGAGGCTGTGGTCGATTACCTCTCCATGTAGGTAGAAGTTGCACCACAATGGCACTTATAATAATTGGAACCCTCTCCAAGGATTTCAATCATATATATTATAGATAGCTGTATTTAAAGAAAAGTGTTCCTATTCATACAATGTTAATGCATTGTAAAAGGATATGTAAAAGTGATGCTCCTCTGGATCTCACTGCTAGTATTTCCTGTATTAACCTTTACTGTGGAAAGCAGCTTTCACAGTTTTGAAATGTTTGTGGAGTTCCTAATGACACTAGCAACAATACTAGCAAACCCTTGCATAAATAGAATAAATATCTACTTGTTATGACTCTGGAGACCAGGGTACAAATTCTTGTTTGATCATGGAAACCCATTGTGTTATCTTTGGCAAATCACTCTCTTAGCCTCAGAACGAGTATCTCTGTGAATAAATCTTGCCAAGAAAATCTCATGAGAGGTTCGCCTTAGGGTTGCCATAAATTGGATATCACTTGAAGGCACTCTCTCTGTAGATCTTAGGAAGCTGTTTCTTGATTTAAGGTGTTGGCTTGCTAACTGATATCTGAACAGAGGATGGGCTGGAGATGTCAATGCCTTGGTCTTTTCATTACAGGCTGCTATTTCCTGATGGATGTCAGGTGATACAGTACTGGCTAAACAGTATAATTTCTCCAGTGGACTCTTGCAGGAACATCTCAGCAAGCGAGAGTCCAAAAGTGGCAGGTTAAAACGCTGAACCTCAATCAGGGCTGATAACAGATGAGAAACTTCTGCCTGGGCACACAGAAGACTGGATAACTTGAATAGACTATACTTTGGTACCACGAGATGCAGAGCTAACCTTAAGAAATGGGGCTATAAAGTGGAGTACACAACATGTGAGTGTGGAGAAGAGCAAACCAGAGACCACTTACTACACTGCAATCTGAGCCCTGCCATATGCACAATGGAGGACCTTCTTAAAGTGATACCAGAGGCACTGGAAGTGGCCAGCTTCTGGTCAAAGTATAGTATAATACCAAGTTTTAAACTGTATTTGTGGTTTTTCTATACATTATAATTGTATTCTCAATTTGCTTCTGACATGACAAATAAATAAATAAACTTGAAACCACACAAAAACCAAATATCTCGACAGTTCAACCTAATGGTCAAGCTAAACAAACCATTCAACACCAACGCTAAATGTTCCTTGGGTTGTAGTCCACTTCTTGCTTGAGCAAAAGCAACAGATGACCTTTCAGCCGCTTTACTTCCAGACATAGAAAACATTCCTGGCAATGATTCTAAGTATCAACATATTTCAAAATCTGCACCTATTTGTACAATTACTTACGTTCTTTTTTTTTTTACCCCTTAACATATTTCAAAATCTGCACCTATTTGTACAATTACTTATGTTCTTTTTTTTTTTACCCCTGAACACACACTTTTGAAAAGGGATACAGAAGACTAGGCCCCAGATCTGAATCTACCAAGAGTTTCTCCTCCTTCCCCGTAACACCACTTTTCACCAGTTTCTCAGCTTTTAATTTTCTCCCCTATTCAAAGACGTTGAAACATCTTTCTCAAGGCTAGGATACTGGAAGGAAGACTTGAACTAAAACGTGCACCTCTTTGTCTTTGACCCTGCCAGACACTGGAATGCAAGGAATTTTCTCAAATTCAGTGCACCTGCTGGGCTTAAAAAGATCGTTGCACACTCTTGAATGAATCTGAGAAACAAAAAAGAT